CATTGACAGAGATTCCCATGCCATTACATTTTCTTTTCCATAGCTTGAGTGCTTGTTCCAGATAAATTTTGAAAAGGGTAGGCGAAATACAGCAACCCTGCTTTAGTCCTTTCGTGACCTTAAATCCTTCAGATATCCTTGATCCAGTTTTAATTTTTGCAGTCGTTCCATTATACAGACTTTGGACTGCTTTGATAAGACCATGCTTAATGTTGGTTTGCTGTAGGGTTGACCATAGTTTACTTAGGGGTACACTGTCATATGCTTTTTGTAAGTCTACGTACACCAGGTAAACTTCTATATTGAAGGCTGTTTTTTTCTCAATAACTTGCGTAATAGAGTACAGGTGGTCTACTGTGGATCGCCCAGCTCTAAAACACTTCTCTTGCTCGTATCTCTAGTCATTTTGTTTTTAATAAGTTTCCCATACATCCTACTTATTGTGCTATTTACCGCAATTCCTCTGTAATTTTCACACTGACCCTGGCTGCCCTTTTTGTGGATAGTTGACATGATAGATAATTTCCATTCTTTTTCTAATTCGGCCCCATTCAAGCAGTTTTGAAAGAGTTTTCTTAACTGTTCCTGGATGTCTGTACCGGCTTTCTTAAGCATATTTGCCATTACAATTAATATTTTGTTTCTTTATTTGTTTACTTAAAGATACTCTGTTTAAAAAAAATCTCAGTTCGAAATAAAAGTTAAAAACTAGTGAAACCTGCTTTTATTTAAAAACCGTTCCAAAGCACAAGGATCTCTCCTACACATTACACATTATTATTTTATGATTTTTATCTTTTATCAAAAAATTTGTGTCGGTGAAAGAACCAATATCGCGATACGTCCCTGGACATCGGTGACTCGAATTTCATAACACACAAATATTATCTGTTTGAATTTGCCGACGGACGAAATATCAATGGACCCGACTTTAATCTAAGTTTAAGCAATATCTCGAAACAATGCCTTTTGAATTTAACATAAATCTATCTTAAAAAACGTGTAAAAATATCATTTACTTTATAATAAAGTTTAAAGCCCAATTTCAGAACATCCGGAAAAAAATCTAAAGCTAATATTTCAAGAAGAGATAATTCCGGTTAATCCTTTAAATTTTTTGTCGCCTCAACTCCACAAACGCGAAAAGATATCCCGAAAGTTATCCCATCAATTTTTTGCCGCCCTTTTGGCGTAGTAAAAATATGAATTAACATTCAAGAAGCTTCTCCGACGATACCGAGCTACAAAAAGGGCACAATTCATCTTGTTAATTCAAAATGGAAGAGAGTATGACACCGCCAGACCTGATATACTCTAAAAACGTTTAACACTTGCCATTAGAACGGGATCCACTCTCCCGACGGACGAACTTTTACAAAGTAATTTATTAGAAAATCTGCTTCGGGAAGATGCCTGTCCCTTAATGAGCTTTAGCTAGTTTGCAGAACTTTAGGGCCATGAATACCCTACTTAGCGTTCCGTTATTGATGTCTATTGGGCATTGGTGAAACCGAACTAAAATTTTAAGGATATTTACTTGACAAGTGGTAACCGCAAAATATCGTAAAATAGAATATTGGGGTTTATTGGATCACGTAAGGGTAACAATTTTCTCATAAAATGTGTTATGTTTGAAGTATACTTAGCGAAAGGTGAAAATTTATGTTCCTGAAAATCACAGGTTAACATGTTCCTTTATAAATTTACTTTATATTAGTTGATTTTTCTGAGTTTTTGTTAAATAAAATTATTTTACTCAAGGCATCCTTATTAATATTTTTTACATAACATTATTTAGAATTTTTGGTTTTAAAAATAAACTCTGATAAAGCTTTTAAATAAATTATAATATATTTTTTTCAGATCTTCTTGCAGAGGGGTATCGATACCTTTCAATTGGGACCAAAGAAATTTGTTATTTGTACAAAAAGATGATGCATTAGACACCGTCTTTTGTTCAAATTTTGTTCAAATGAACATCAACAAGTTTATAAGAGCAAACAATAGGTAGCTAGTTTTAATATTTTACGTTGAATTATCGTGATCGTCTTAACGAATATCGTCTCAGTGAGTTTTAATAGTTTTTCAGATATGATATCGAAGTTATAAGCGCTGAAGAGGAAGGAGATGAGTTACAGAAGTCACAAGATAACCTTCTTAGCCTTCTTTTGTCTATTTTTGGACATAAACCCCATTTAATTCTAATGGAAGGAGCCCCACTCCTTCCATGCCCATAACTACACCCATGTTGATAATAAAAAAGCTTTCGAGTAAGACATGAAACAATAATATAGATATTTATGAATAAGTATGGGTAGCGAGTAGGAACTCCTTTAAATAGTCATATCAGGAAAAATAAATCAATCCTCGTTCTCCAAAGATTCTTCAGGATTTCCTGAGCCGGCACACTAGTATTTGCTTAGGGTCCCTTATCCAGGGTCACGGATGAAGTCAACAACAGCAGTAACGGCGGGGAAGAATTCCTTCGGTACGGTGTGGATGGCGAAAGTGGCAATCCCTTGATTTTAGGGATTATATAGAATCACTGTATGTGATGAAGGGCAGCAGCAATCATCAGTATCAGCTCAAGGCACAGAGGAAATAATCCTGGATCAGCTTGAAACTGAAGTATAGCAAGCATGACTGAAGCAGTTTAAATGGTTGTACTACTGCGATGAAGAAGACAACGGGAAATCACCCTATTATTATTCCCTAGTTCAATCATAATGGCACTATAATCTGATAAGAACAGTTGTACTGATCATAGTCTTCGGACACCAAGATCCGGCAGGAGAAGACAAGTACACAGGGCTTTCCACGTCGTTATCCAACAAAATCTCTGTGATAATGGAAAACAAATAAGAATAAAATCAGGTATCAGAATAGGCAAATGGAATGTGAGAAGTCTCTACGAGCCGGTAAGATACAAAACACCATACGTGAGATGATAAGGCTTAATATACCAGTTCTTGGGATAAACAAAATGCGGTGGCCGAAGACTGGTAAATGTAGCATAACTGACCACGATGTAATCTATTCCGGAGAAAAAAGCACTAACCACCGGAATGGCGTCACAATTGTACATAAAGAATTCTCTTGCTGTATTTAATCTGTGAGTTACATTTCGGACAGAGTCATTGTGATTCAATTAAACTCAAAACCAGTAGATATAAATTTGGTCCAAGTTTATGGGCCCACAGCCAGCAGTAGTAAAGATGACATTTAGAGAGCGGACAAAGAGATTTTTTATGATGATATAAAGAAGGTAATGAGTCAGCTACAAAACAAAGACATTACAATAATAATAGTCGACTTCAATGCCAAAGTAAAAGGTAAAGGTAGATATAAAAACATTGTAGGGAATTTTGGACTTTGACCACGTAATGATAGGGGAGACCGTTTTGTAGAATTTTGCGTAGACAACAATTTATGTGTGGGGATAGTTGGGATAAGTCTTTTTTTTTATATTAAGTTCTGTTAGAAATGAGTTATTTGTCTCCACTGTTAGTAATAACAGAGCCTTAGTAATTAAATTGCCTGACCACTTCGTAACCTGCCATGTTTTTTTTATCTCTGCTTGGTTGTTTCTGATTCTATCGATAATTATCACTTTGGTTTTCCACATATTTATTTTCAAACCATATTCTGTACTCACCGTGCCTAGCCTATTCATAATTTTTTCCAGTTCTTCTGGTGATTACGCCAATTTAACAGTGTCATCAGCATAAAGGAGGTTTTTGATTTTTTTTTCCTATCGTTGCTCCACCTTGCCATTCCTTAAAAACTTAACGAATAATATGTTCACTATATATTATAAATAAAATGGAAAATATTCTACATACCTGTCAAACTCCAGATATTAATTTAATAAGTAATAAAACCATTAGGATGTAAACTTACACATAATATATTTAAGACAATAGAGTTTGAAAAATTTAAATTTACTGTTTGTATTTTGAGAACGATTTCCGAAGTGGAAATTGAAACGTCAATAAACGTATTTTTATTTTTAATTGTGGCTTATTCCCAGTTTAATAGTAATTAATTTACAATGCCACAAGAAAATAGCTTCAGAACAATAATAGAGTTTAATTTTATTTAATTTGGAATAAAATTACGTGTAATTTTAATAATTCTTCTTCTTTATGTACCATGTCCTTTCAGAACGTTGGTTACCATCACAGCTATCTTAATTTTATTAACTACCATCCTAAATAGCATGCTTGTATCAACACCATACCAATCTCGCAAGTTCTTCAACCATGAGATTCTTCTTCGTCCTGAACTGCGTTTGCCTAGTATTTTAATAATTACATTATGTAACAAATTTATTTTGATCCTAGGATTGTTAGTATAATTTTAATATACATAAATTTGTACCTGTTATGTGATTTATTTAACATTGTTACATAACAAAGTATATGAATTTTCTAAGTGTATATATTGTATAATTCCTAATAGGTAGTGAAATGTCTTTCTGAGAGTTTTGTTTCATTTTGACTTTAACTGTCAGCCCAAAGGTTTTGTCTACTTTGCTACCTCATTCGGTTAATGGTACTGTGCTGTAACCATCTATTTTTGTTCACCATCATAACAACTTTGTTGATAGACTACTGTCAGACCAGAGTTCTTGTGATTATTCTGCCACTATCAGTTTGGATAAATAGTGCTGTCTGTATCCCACTAAGTCATAAGATCTTGACAAAAACATTTAAATCACTAAAAGGTTGCTAGGTAAGTTGTTGTGTTAGCGGCCACTTGTTGAAAACTTTGCTAAAAAGGGTATTTAGTATTAGCAATTTTTGTTTATTATTTTGGGTATAATTGGGGTTCTCTATGTGGTTTTTACTCTAGTTTTAAGTAACCGTGAGGCTATTGTGTGTACATACCTGTGTGTCTCTCGATAGTCCAAAAACAGCCCGCTTCAGTCTGACAGGTACTATAACTAATATAACTTGAAGGCATAAAACCTCCTTGAGAAATCCTCAGCTTGATAAATGCTATAAATAATTAGGAAGTTTGATTCCTTGAGATAATATTCTCTAAAACATAATAATACTAATAAGAACAGATTGTATGTAGTTGTTTGATTCATACCTGTTTAGAGTGTTTAGTAGAAATGTATTACCATTCATTTATCTTGTTTTGCTAAGTAGTAATATTTTATTTTGGTTGTTAACATCTGGTGGTTTGCAATAGAAGTTTTCTTGTATGGTATTACACAGGACTGAGAATGTCGAGTTTACCCATTCTCATCAGTAGAATTACGATTAAACACTATTTTCTATCACTTTTGTAATTTAATTTATTTTTAATTTATTATTTTTAATATATGGTAATTTAAAACGATCACAGATTGTGGAAATAAAGAAATTCGTCTATTATTATTTAAGAAGCCTCTGATAGTTGTATTTTTGGAGTTTCGCAAGATTTTGATGGAAATTTAGTATTTGTGATGTATCATGCTTTTTAACCTGTTAAGCCCTGTGGTCACAGCATTTTTGAGGAAGTATACAGGCTGCTTAGCTTGTTGGAAGATTATTGAAACGTCGATTAATTTTGGAAACGCTCTCAAATTGAGGTAAATGAGATTATTTTACAATTCTGTTGTAAAGCATTTCTAGATCTATTTTTTTGTATATTAACTTTCTATTACAGAAAAGGGATATGGGAAGTATAGATCTGTAATTTTCAGTAATTCAGCTTCACTGTAACATATTATTTTGTTCATTTTCACAGTTTAGAAAGTTTGTGTCTTTTTAGTTAATAATTTTTTTCCTTTGTACCCAAAAATATTAGTTCTAACCAGTTTTTGGAAAGTATTGGGAAGGGATCTGAAGGTGCACTTCATGTACTAACACTTGGTGGTATTTTTAGGGCAGTTTTGAGTATCTGGAGATTTCTGTGTCTGGATCTTTAGTATTTTGGGGTTTTATTTTACAATCCAGAACACCAATCCCTGGTTTGGTAAGGATTTAAGCTTGGATACGTATGTAGAAGTCTGTAGCAGTTTGTTTTTGCTTTATTAAAAAAAATGAATTTGGTGAAGTTAATGGAAGCATTTTTCCATGTATCTTTTCCCTTGGAGTTACACATCCAGTGTTAGGATGGTAGAAGGAAGCGAATGAGACTTGTTAAGTTTTTATTTGTTTTTTAACTTACTTTTTAACTTACATTTTTGCAACTTTTGCGGCTTTGAAATATTGCTTAATAAAATTCTTCATAAAATTTTCATTTAAATCTATTAACTAAATAATAATTTTTTACTATAAAGTTGATTAAACATTTTGTAAATGCCTATGTACAATATTTTTGCATACTTTTAAACTCAAAGCAGCTATGCTGTAGTGTTGTAACTTAATTTACCTATCTGTTGTTCGCCTTGGATCCAATGCCTATAACTTGAGGTATTTCCCTGAAGTAAAGTTTTATTCATCTGCTAAACTGGCAGATTGTTATACATAGGTATACTTTCATTTTCTACTATTTTTATGTGATTAAATAATTAATAACATTACTTAAAACATTAAATAGACTGGGGGGAAATAGTACAAAAGTCGTTTCAAATAGTAAAGGGGATTAAGGTTGTAATTTGTAACTTGACTATAAATTTTAAAATTAGTACTGCTGTCTAAATTTTATTTGATGTGTAAACATATGTTTTTAACATTTACTTTTTATATTGAAACCAAGTGTGGTTCTTCGCACATTTTTAAGAATAAACGAATGTAAAATAAGGTTGTCTTTTTATTTCCTACTTTTGTCAGATTTAGGTTAGGGAAAGAAACTTTATGGCTTAGATAAATCTGACTGGCGCCTCACAATTAAATTTTACATTTTTAACATCCTAGATTTGAGATATAATCACTCCTGTCTCCACTTGAGTGAACCGGACCTACAACGATTGACATCTGGGACAACCGAAACTTAGTAAACCTAAATTTGAGGTTATAATTAATATTTTATTTTTAGACAGATTTTCCATTTAATTCCAACTGATTTATATTTAACAAATACACCGCAACGTACTAGTTACGTATATAATGTAGTCTAATCTGCATAACAAAAGACTCAGAAATAACCACCTCACTGATCCACTTGTAATTTTTTAGCAACGACCCGAATCGACTCAGTGAACAATTCTACATTTAGCACTTCTCTACGACATACCAAATTCTCAATTTCCTTTTATAACAGCGTATTTCTGGAGAAACACCTTTCCGAGACTACTTTATCCGTCCGTTTGTGCATTTACCGTAAAATCCTAAGCATTCTTTGACTCAGGTCGAACGCTTTGGCCCCAAAGAATTTCTTTAGATTCGGTGCGGGTCCTTTTCGGCTCACGTGTCACTCTTAAACATTTTAAAAAAGCGTCAGATGCTTTAGTGTAATGTTTAGGTGGCTGAGAACGAGAAAAAAGAGGATAAGCATATTGAAAATTTGGAATAAGTAAATTGTATTCGATTTTAAATTAAAAAGGAATATTTTACTTCACTGATTAAGTTCTATTCTACACAAAAAATTGGAAAATATTATATACAGAATGAATTTTATTTGTAGAATGCATAAATTATGGTGTGTAAAGGTCTTTGATGCTACGCAAATATTATAGTGATATTTACATTGTTGTCAAATCTTCCGTTTTTCTGGAAACATAATGAAATTTCTGATGCCAAGTGGAACTCCTTGTATATTTCTCGCTTTTTTAAGTCATTAATAAATACTGGTTATTTTTCATATACCATAATTTTGGAGTAATTGCTACATTTATAATATCTTCATCGAAGGTAAAATACATCTAAATGAATAAACTCGTTGTAGACATTAAAAGCCAGATTTTGACAGATTTTGATAAATTACAAAGATGAAAAGTATATATATATATATATATATATATATATATATATATATATATATATATATAATAACAAATAAAGTAGTAACTATGGCCATTTAGGCTGTTTTATCGGTGCACCAAGACCTAGGGACATTGTTTTCTCTGTTATTTACCTACAAAATGTCTCGACATTTGGACACGTTATTCGAAATTATGTTGCCTTTAAAATGATGGTTTTACTTTTTTTATTTTTTTGAAACTTCTGTTGAAAAATTGGATTATACTGTTTAACATTCTACTATAACCAAACTTTCTACGCCCATCACTTGAAAGAATTTTTTTTCTGTAATCGTTGATTTTTTTCACCTTTCTGTGTCCAGTAATAATCGAGAAAAGCGTGTTCCAACTTTGATGAAAATTGATAAAAAATACTAAAATCTAATAGTGAAACGTGTTACCTATCATTGTCGCTTAGACTCATCGTTATCGCCTTCGTGATGTCAAATCTCATAAACGTACGGTCAGTTAGTTTTGTTAAAATCTGGTAGCTCGTTTCCTTGTGGTTGTTCTGAATTAAAGTCGTGATCATTGTTCTCCAAAACGTCATCTTGGCCTTCGTCATGGTCCTTCACACGTTTAACTAATCGTCTGTTTTTAAGTTATCAAGAAATTTGTGATATTTCTAAACGTCGTACAGGATAGCAGGATACATAAGGATAACCAAGAAGCAGATTAAAGACCGTTTTATTAGGTTGCAGGCTTTGCGAGATCGCGCTATAACTGCATCACAATTACAAATGAGGCCGCAAGGACGAATCAGGTGTTTATGAATGACAAAACCATTAGAAATAGACGGCCCAAACAACAAATAGCTGGATATGTCCCAATATCATAAATAAAAACACGCGGGGTAGAAGCAGAAAAAAAAGGTAACAACTGGGGTCCTGGGATTTTAGAGTTCCAGACACCAGGATTTGCTCACCAAAAAAATTATCTAGCTTTTAAGTTTTAGTATTAGTTTATAACAAAAAATTGGGAAAAAACATCTTCTAACCTCGCGAGCGCAATTTTGACAATGAATAATAGATTCATAACCCGGGTACTAATAATTACGTGTGATGCTGACCCTTGTCGCACATTTACATACATACATAAAAGGTACAAAGAGGCGAGGAGAACAAATTAATTTTGCTAAATCGGCAGCTGAGTGTCCGAACACACACATTTCCCTGTACGGAGGGGCACACATTTTTAGGGACATCAGGTCCAAAGTAATGCTCATGCCAAATTAGATTCAGTAAAGTAACTAGGGAGAAAAGCTCATAGCTACCCCTTAATTTCAGGTGGCTTAACCACAACCAAGTCGATACGGAGGGTTTTGTTCATTACCCAAATAGCCCGACGTAAAGTTCATAAGCCTTTACTACGTATGTCAGACGTAGTAAAGGGGTGGAAAAAAAACCTGGTGGTCAGATAGGTACCGATCCAGAATGATTAGCTCTTCTGGAGCGAGACCGGTTTGATCTTCGGATATGTGGATCCCACTGACTAACAGTGGTATACACATGTCACTAGGAGTTGGGTTGAACGCTTCGCGTGTGTATGTGTGATGTGTGAGAAATAGACTGCACGAAGTAAGGTTAGATGCTCTAAGACCTGTAAGAGTGCTTGTCTTATCCAGCGGAAATTCCACAGCTACACGTAAATTGCGTTAGACGAAGTGGGCCTCTACTTTTTTTATAGTTGAGTCTCGATTTGTATTTGCACTAGATGCAAGACTAATAAAAATTTGGAGAAAAAATGGCAATGCTGAATGGTTTATAGACAGCAAGATGGCAATATTATTATAAGAGGTAGCATCACTCTTGCTAAAAGAACCAATGTTGTTTGTCTGGAATGATTTCTAAATGCAATAGACTACCGCGATGTTATTCTGAAACTTATTGTTGTACCTTTGAAAAACAAGCTGGTCCCCAATTTTAATTAGTACATGATAGTGAGCGTTTGAATGCTGCTAGAATCGTGCAAACATTTCTTGAAGATATGGAAATTGAGATTTTACCATGACCTGCAGAATTACCAGATTTAAACCCAAATGAGCATGTATAAGACATATTAAGCAGACTCATTTTACAACAAAATCTTGCGTTTAGAAAAGACAGCAGCAATTTAAAGACCTTTTAATGGAATGAAACAGACTACCTC